CCAAAAGAAATGGGAATGGGGCCGGGTGTGGTGGCTCACACCTGTAAGCCCAGCACTTTGGGAGGCCGAGGCAGGCAGATCACAAGGTCAAGAGATCGAGACCATCGTGGCCCACATGGTGAAACCCTGTCTCTACTAAAAATATAAAAATCAGCTGAGTGTAGTGCTGCACACTTGTAGTCCCAGCTACTTGGGAGGCTGAGGCAGGAGAATTGCTTGAACCCAGGAGGCGGAGGTTGCAGTGCTTTGAGATTGCACCACTGCACTCCAGCCTGGTGACAGAGCGAGACTCTATCTCAAAAAAGCAAAAGAAATGGGAATGGACACCGGGCAGCTAAAAACAGCACACACCCACTCCGGTTGGCTGTGGGCCTGCAATCAGGACCGTGCTCACCCTCTGCTTCTCTCCTTTCCCCTCCACCGCCACCTCCTCACCAGAATAAATGCTCAAGTGGCCAAAAGAGAGAACTCTCAGCTGCCTCAAGCTGCAGACTTCCGGCAGATCTCTGCACTTAGATCCCCCGGGCAGTGGTGACCAGGAGTCAAACTAGCCTCCTGCCCCCAGGGAAATGCATGGGGCACTGCTCCTTGTCACAGTGACTGGGGATGCTGTGGTCTGTTAATAATGAAAGCCAAGAAGGCAATGCACAAGACAGACCACACAACAAAGAACCATCCCACCCAAAATGCCAAGAGCATCCTCACGGACAGTCACGGTCACCTGGGCTCATCTGTGGGCCTATGGATGCTCGGCCACACTGGCCTTGCATTGGGGCTCACATTGCCCATCATGGGCCATAGGGATCCCTCTTGAAGAGTGGAAACTGCACATGCTAAATGACCACATACTGGAGTCCCCATTTTCATACTGCCAGGGGCAGTTGTGTTGACACACCCACATCTCTGTGGTTAGGTCATGGAGGCAGAGACCAGGTTTTTCTCTCAAATCCTTCCCAGCATGTTCCAGACTCTCATGAATAAGTAGACCGGTTGCCATCGGGAGCATTTTGGGATACATAGAGATTTGGCTTAGGCCACTGAATTCAGACTGGTTTATAAATGTGATCACTGGATAGGACTATTTTAAGTGCAGTCAATTTCAAGCAACAGCCCCTGATAGGTGGGGTTTTTGTTTGTTTGTTTGTTTTTGTTTTTGTTTTTTGTTTTGAGATGGAGTCTCGCTTTGTCACCAGGCTGGAGTGCAGTGGCACGATCTCGGCTTACTGCAACCTCCGTCTCTCGGGTTCAAGTGAGTCTCCTGCCTCAGCATCCCGAGTAGCTGTGACTACAAGTGTGTGTCACCACGCCCAGCTAATTTTTTTTTTAGTAGAGACAGGGTTTCATCATGTTGGTCAGGGTGGTTTCGATCTCTTGACCTTGTGATCCACCCACCTCGGCCTCCCAAAGTGCTGGGATTACAGGTGTGAGCCACTGCTCCCAGCCAGTGCTTTTGAGAGGGAAGTTTAGAGCTAGAAGGAAGAGTGACCAGGTTTATTTCCTATCACTGTGCAGTAACCAAGGCTGCTGTGGCTGTGAGTTTGGGGACAGTCTGGCTAAGGCCAGGCCTGCCAGTTGTAGGGCCCAAGGTCCTTGGTCCCCTAAAGGTTTGCTGAAAATTCACATGAGGAGGAAAGGCACACACATGAACGTGGAGCCTTCAGAATGAAGACCTAGAGGTACAGAGGAAATTGTCTTTGTGCTTAGTTTCAACAAAGATGGACAGCCTTTAGGCTGGACAAAAGGACAATAGGTCTGGACAAAAGGACTGGACAAAAGGGTTGGATCTAATGCTGATCAACTGTGTGGGGACCCGGCAAGGCCTGTCTGAGCAGCATTCCTTCCTCTGGGGTATGGGGCAAGACCTTCTCTGGAATGTGGGTCTTATGACCTACCACAAACAAGGTGGGTCAGATCGTTCTGTTATAGCCAGTTCTTGCACAAGGCTGGGGGAAAATTCAAGTAATACTTTTAGATTTTCTAACTAGCTTTGGGGAGAAAGGATTCTGGATTCTATGCCCCACATTGGGGAAGAATTGAGTTTGGGGGAGATGGGACTGAGAGATAGGAGACTGGCAGAAGACAGAGGAAAACTTTCCCTTTTGGGGCCTTCATTTTGGGATTTCATTGTCTAAGCTCCGGCAGAGTCTAGCATCTTCACCAGGCTATGCTCAGACCCTGGCTCTGAACATCAACTAGAGACCATCAGTTGGCCGGGTGCGGTGGCTCACCTGAATCCCAGCATTTGGGGAAGCCAAAGTGGGCAGATGACTTGAGCCCAGGAATTGGAAATCAGCCTGGGTGGCATGGCAAAAACCTGTATTTCGTGTGTTTTTCTACCAAAAAAAATACAAAAATTAGCCAGGCATAGTGGCGTGCACCTGTCTGAGGTAGGAGGGTCACTTGAGCCTGGGAGGTCAAGGCTACAGTAAGCTGAGATCGTGCCACTGCAATCCAGCCTGGGTGACAAAAGGAGACCCTGTCTCAAAAAA